CACGTAATGATACCCCAAATAAGCCACCAGTCCCACCCTTAAAGTGTCTTCAGAAAATTAACCCATGGAACAAGCAGTAATATGCAAACTATAAACATTCTTGCATGTTGGCAGATAACCATGCTACACATTCCCCTCAAAGAAATGAGAAAGAGAAGAAAGTGAATAACACAATGGCAGAAAAATGCACTAATCAAATCCATAATCAACTCTGATGATGGAGCAAGGATTCTAATCAAAACACAATGGGGCAAAGTTGCAACAGGTTGCAGTTTGGATTCACTCGGTCTTCCCAGAGGCCTCGCCTGTGCTTTCTTTTTAAACATCTAAAACACCCACAAAGCATTTCAATCACTTCTAATTATATATTTTTAATGAGTTACAAGTTGAATATGAGGCTCCTAAAAACAGTAAATATCAAAGTATTAAATATCTCATTTTCTTCTTGCAATTGTTTCTTAAAAATAGTCACACCTCTCCTCAAAGAACTCAAGCATTCCTTATCTGAAGGTCGGCCGGACAGGGTTTCTGAACGAACACAGAGCATGTCTCTAAAACAATTCTCTGCACATGGTCATAATTTATACACCATGTTAACAGAGCAGATGCTATAAATATTCATTCTTGGGGGAAGGCCCAGGTATCCCAGCACCAGGAAGGGAATTTGGGGGAGAGGGGGTGTGCTGCTGCAGAGCACAGACCCCTCTGGGGGATAGGGATTGAGCCCCAGCTGTGGGTTTGTAGGAGCGATTCAAGGTGAGGAGCTATACCTAAGAGCAGCTTGCTGGCTACATTTGGTCTTTTCACACTTGATGGAGCTGGAGAGCAGGCTTGGGGAAGCATGGGCTGTCCCTGGCTAAAGAGTTGCTGTATAATAAAAAAAAAAGGCGTGAGAACCACTTGCTTTCCCCTGTAACTACCACACTGAATATTCTAAACCCTGTTTTCCAAAGGTCTGTTATGAACTGGGTTCTTTGTGGACAACATCTCCCCAGCTTCTTTTGACTACCTTGCATGCTCAGAATTACTATCCCCAGGGAAGCAGGCATGCAAAGAAACCCAATCCTCTAGCTGGGAGAAGCCTTTGTTCTTTTCTCATCCTCGTCTTTCAAAAGGAAGACACCAGACATGGAATAATTCTCTGTTATGTGAAGGTGCAGCTTCTGTAGTCACATCAGCTCCTGCTCGTCACCACTGTATGGCCCTGCTCCCATCCATCCCTGCATGCCCATCTCATTCCTCTCCATCCCTCCTCCCCACCCAGGCATTCTTGCCCATCTCTGAGGCCCAACTTACCTCCCTCTTCCTTCATGAGGTCCCCTGAACTTCTTCAGTCTCTGGGGCACTGCCCTTCCTCTGAGTCCCAAGCTTACCTTTTCTGTGCTGTACTCTGTTGCCCTTGGCATGATCAGTTATGTCTCCCTAAGGCCCAGGCCATTGCTTATTAACTCAGAACATTTGCTGTAGCTTGATGGAATTAGGCACCTAGGCAGAGTGGGAAGACCACTGGTCTTGAAGCCAGACCAACCTGAACAGGTGACCTGGAGCCAGCTTCCCTCCCTGAGCGACCCTCAGCTCAGTCAACAGTTAGAGCAGTGATCTTACATATTAGAGCCTTCAACATTTTTTTTGTAGAGGTAACATTAGTTCACAATACATACATGTCCTAGGAGGACATGTTCTCACCTCTGCAGCTGCATATATCTCATCATCCCACTGCTCACCATCCAGTCACTAGCACCACTAACCAATCCTGCCTCCTCTTCTCTGGCAACCAACATTCTGCTGTCAGAGTCTAAGGGTTTGTTTATGTGTTGTTTGCTCTTTTGCTTTTTTCCCTTTATGTTTCACAAAAAAGCGACGTCACAAGGTGTTTGATTTCCTGTGCCTGACTTACATCACTTAACACAATTCCCTCAAGGCCTAGCCGTATTGCTGCAAAAGGCAAATATTTCACCTGTCTCCTGGCTGAGTGGTGTTCCACCATATGCACAGCCCTCACTGCATCGCACTGTGATGGAGAGTATGGGGGCCCAGCCAGAAAGCGCAGGTTCTAATTCTACCTCTGCTGCTCACAAGGTTACTAACCCTATAGTTTGCCTTTGTTTCCTCGTGGATGAAATGGGGATAAAAACATGTATCTCGCTGGAATGTTTTAATGATCAAATGAGGTAATTTCTACAAAGTCTTTAGAAAAATTTCTGGCACATAAAAAGTGCGATGTAAGGATGGGCCGTTTTTATGTTATCATTGTTATAGGAATGGATGTGTCATTCCTGCTTTGAGCATTACTATAAGGATGAAATGAGCTCACAAATAAAGAGCCTGACACATCAGGCGTGCAACAAGTGGCCATTCCCTCGTCTTCTCACTGTGCCTGCTGCTGGACCGGAACAATGAGAGATGCTCTTAAATCCCTGTGAATCAACTGGTACCTCCCTAAGGGCTTGAGAGTGAAAAGCCCAAGGGCTTTTCTCACTTAAAGGCCATTACATCTATATATTCAATATGCCCTATCTCTTGGGCTATCAATATAAGTAGCCAATTTTATTAAATGTTCCTTTCTTGCCAGACACTGGACTAAATAATTCATGTTATTTTCCTTCGCCCTCACATGTGCTTGCCTATGCTCCATTTTACAGATGGGAACACTGAGGTCACCCAGCTACTAATACAGCAGAGACGGAGCATCATAGATACCCCTCTGATTTTAAGACTTTTGCTGCTGGCCAGTGCACAACCCAGCCTCCTGCCAATAACCCCTCAAATGAAAGAAGAAATGGAGTCCCCGAGATATTACTTGCCATTTAACTCATCATTTCTTGAGTGTTATCTAGTGATAAACAGCAGATTTGGGGTCAGTGACTACCAGATGGCAAGCCAGTCCAGTCACCAGGCTGTAAATGGGAGGACTTCCTGGGGGATGAATGGGTACCACGCCAGGCAGAGTGGGAGGATGCCCTGCCCAAGGAAGGCAAAACCCTTCTTGCCACGAGAATCTGCCACTGCCTCAGAGAATAGGCCCCAGGAAGCCTGGACACTGGGAAGGAAAAGGGAGGCTGGTGAAAATCAGGATAACTCTCTGGGAAGTGGCCAGTTGCCTTAGTCCATCCAAACCACCCTGGTGGTGGACCAGAACCCTGGTGGTGAGCATACGAAGCCCCGCTGAGGGCAAGACAGGTGGAATGGGGACATCCTGGGGACTGGGCCAAGAATAAGGATGGGAAGCAAAGTGTTGAGGGAACAGGACCACGTCAGCCCCTCTGGGAGCAACAGGAGAAATTTTTTCCAGGGAAGAGGGTGATGAATCACCTTTCCAGAAACTGCCAACTGCAAGTCCTTCGACAGTGTTTGTTCAACGAAGGGTCAAATGGGCAATGGCAGAATGCTGGCGGGTAGGGACAATCCCAGCATCGACTTTGCCTCTCATTCTTTGGGTCCTCCTCATCAGGCTGGAGCGTGTGTGTCATGTCCACCATTGCTCCGGCCTCCCGTACACCGCCCTCCACATCTCAGCAGCTCCATGTCCAGGGATGGAAGGGAAACCCGGCCAGAGTGTATACCCGGAGCTCGTTCCCATTTCAGAACCACCAGACAAATGCTGTGACTAACGGCAGAAAAAGAGAGCAGAGCACAAACCCCAGCAGAGACAGGCCCTGGGAGCAGTGGGGGAAATCTTGCCTTCCTCCCACACGCCATCACTCAAACCTGTCAGCTTCCAAAAATGTTTAGCAAGTGCAGCAGCAAGGGGCATGCTTATCAGCTTGGCGTGGGAGCTTAATCTGCTTTGAGGGCCTTCTCCAGTCCAGAGCTCCAAAAGTCTGCTTACAATTAGCTTCCAGCTCCAGTTTCCCCATCAGAAAGGCTAGGAATGTGTTGAGTTTTAGCCTCTGATCAGAGAAAGCTCCAGGAGAAGGTGGAGACAGTGTCAGCAGAGAAGTAAGTGCCAAAAAGGTCAGCTGGTCTGTTGCCACTTCCCTGACACTAGCCCTGAATTACCTCCCCCTCAGAATTCCCGCCTCTCCTGACCACCAGTCACATCCGTCAGGTCAGCCTGTCCCCAAAAGTCCCTGCTGACTCACTGCCAAGAAAATACAGCATGCCCCTACTCCTCCTAACAGAAGGGGGAAAAAAGCAGCAGGAAGGGCAGAAGGCCAAGACGACCTGATTGGCCCGTGCCGATTTCCCTAAAAGAGACGGCATGGCCAAGGCCTGCCATCCAGCTCTGTCAGGAAAAACAGAAGTCACCACCTCTCTTCAAACCAACCCTCACCCCTATCCCCAGTCTCAGGGCTACCAGTACCAGAATCTACTCAGGCGGGAAGGAGGGGCTTAGCTGTGGGCCGCCATTCTGAGGCAGCCACCCCCACCCCCAACGCAACAGCCAGCCCAGACGCCAGGAGACTCCAGCTGCCCGCCTCCACTGGTGCGCGCTACGCTGGTGCACCAGGCACTCCTACTCTTAGCACCGCTGTGCCCAGAATCCTGTCAGCCCACAGGGATGTAGCAGGGGCAGGCAACCCTCAAGCCGCGGGGAGCAGGTTCACTGCCACCCCCAGATCCTCTTTGCTGGATCCTGAACCGTGCCAGGGGGGGCGTTGCGCCCAGCAAGGCCTGAGACCATTACTTGGCAGGGACTGAATCGCTGCGGAACATACAGACGCGAGGCTGCTGCTGCAGATACTGCCTTCTCGGGGCCAAGCCCTCCATATGCGGGACCTGACATTTCCAGTACTACACACGTTTTTTTGAGAATACCCAGGCCCTTACCCCCAAGAAGGAATCCGCAGGCGCGCGGGCACCCGGGTCCCTCCGGGCTCGGGCACCGGGACCACACCCACCAGCCTGCCCACTCTCTTCGCGCATCGTCCAGTTAGCCGGCCTAAGTGGAATGGTCTCCTCCTCAATCCACAGGGTAGCTCTTTCCCTCACCAGCCTCCCTCCCCCAGAGTGCCCACCCATCCTCCCAGAACAGTGCCCCAGCACACAGCTCCACTTACCTGGGTATCGAACCCGTTTTCCAGCGAGCCGCTTGTCCGCAGCGGGAGCCCCTCCCCCTCCGGCTCCTGCAGCCCCTGCGATTTCAGCGGGATCTGGCTAGGGTAGGCGGTCTTGCTCACCTCCACCTTGCTGCCCAACTTGAGGTAGCAGGGCTGGGGGCCGGCCCGGGCCGGGGGCACGTGCAGGATGGGCGCGGCGCTGTGCACGGGTTTGGGCAGTCCCGACTTCATTTTGGAGGCGACCAGGATGGCCGGCATCTTCTCCCGGGGCTTCGGCTTTCCCAGCACGTCCCTGGCAGCGGCTGCGGAGGCGACCGCTAAAGGCAGCTCGGGCAGCAGAGCAGGCGCCGGGCCTCCGCCCGCGAGGCGCCCACCGGCAGCGGAGAGAAAAAAATCCCCGGGTCGGGGAACTCGGAGCTGTAGGGTGAGCGCGCTTTCGGGGTGCGGAAAGGGGCGGAGGGCTGCTGGCGGCGCTCAGCGGGTCCCACCTGGACGGATGCTGCTGGCGATCTCACGCTCCTCCTGGGCGGCTTGGCCACGGGCTCTGGACGCTCAGGGTCTCTTGCCTCTTATGATTCTCCTTCTGGGAAGCCTCCCATATTCACCTGTCACTGCATCTCCGAGGTGAGAAGGCCCCTTGGAAAGCGAAGTGACCGCGAAGCGCGCCTCCCGCTCCAGGAGGCTGCGAGTGGGAACCGGCGAGGGATGGAGAAGGGATGGACGAGCCGCGGAGGAAGGACAGGGAGGGCGCACGGAGCCCAAGACGTCTCCGAGAGGCAGTTGCCACCCTGATCGCGACCACCGCAGTGTCACCCGCGACGCAGAGGCGCGGCGAGAGCCCCCGAAAGGTCTGTCTAGGCGTGACAGTCAATCACCGCTGCCCAGAAGCCCCCAGGGCAGGACACCTTTGCGCCCGCAGGTCCGCACATGCTCCGTGCGCTCTAGCGCAGCAAGGCTGTGGCCCTGGGGCGCCGGCACCCGGAGACGCGACTCGCTGGCTGGGCAGGGCCGCGCCGGAGAGGGGCCGCGGCGCTTCCCGGGGAGGCTGTGCTGGCGGCTGGGCTCTGCGGCGAGGACAGGCTGGGGCCGGCGCGGCTGCGGCGCGCGCTGACAGCCCGGGCCGCCCAGGCGCGCCCATTGGCCCGCGGCGCACCAATGAGCCGCCGCGGCCCGCACTGCAAAGGGGGCGCGGCCTGCACCCCCCGGCCGCGCTCGGAACCCCGTGGCCGCGCTTGGCCGCAAGTACAAAGCCGGCTGGTGGCGGCTCTGCGGCACCGCCTGGTCCGCGCGCTCCCCGGAGGCCCGGCGCTCCCGCGTTCTCGGAACCTTCTTTTGAAAAATGCCCTTTCGAACGCAAACGCCCGCCTCAAGGCGCCGCGGGCGCGTCTCGGAGGGAAGTTTGTTTCCTCTTTCGAATTGTTCTGGTCACCTTAACGGTTGGAGTCATCCGCAGTCACCCCGCGCGCGGCCCCCCTCTGACCTGGGCAGGGCCGAGCCTGGATTCCCGCGTTAAGAACACACCAGCCGTTTCTCCTCTTTTTTGGCCTGTTTTTTTCAGGGGGCCGAGGGGCCTCCCAATAGCTTCCTCTCCAGCTTTCAAAGGCTGCACATTTCACTTAACTATTTGAAGTATTTATAGACAAATAGAATACCCAGGGAAGCCTCCCGCCCCAAGACAGCTCCTCCTTGCAACCTACCACAGACTCTAATTAGAGTGGCCAGAGGAAGCCACGGAAGCTCCTTGACCCTGGCTGGTTTCTGAGTTTCATGTTGGAGCTCCTCCCTGGCTGTGCCTTGGACTCACTGGCCCCACAGGTTCCTCTACTTTAATTCGCCGGAGGATTTCCCTCCTAGTCCCAGCTGCTGTTTGCATTCCTTGCTCACTGAAAGTATATGAGAATCGGGAGAGATAATCCAGGCAGGCCAGAGACCTCACTCTTTCAGGGATAAGGAATCGCTGCCTTGTAAGAACTGCCTGGATTTAAACTGGGCAAGTTCTTTAACCTTACATGCATCCTCACAGAGCTGTGATTTTCACTTGGAGTAAGGAGTAGGTTTGATTATATAATGTGCTGTTTGGATTAAGTGAGATAGTGCATGACAGTCATTCAGCACAACGTAAGGGACAATAGAAGTTAGGGGTTATTATCCTTGGCATTAAATTACTATTACTTTCCCCCCCCCCAATCATCTTTGCTTATAAACTCTCTCTTCTCTATCTCTGAGATGCAGGTTTTCATAGATGCCCAACCTAGAGACTGATTTACAATGCTGATAGCATTGATTTATAATTATGTAGAGTAGAGGAAAGGTCCAGGTTTTAAAACAACCTTGGCAGCATTAAGAAATGAGTAGGTGCTTCTTACCCTAGTGCCCCACCTTATCTTCCATCCATTCTATCCAGCCACTTTCTAACTCTAGTTAGACTGAAAGAACAGTCTTGTATATAATTTCAGGTATACTACCTCCCTCCGAAACTAAATAATACATGGTCTGTGTTACTTACTTAACACTCTTCTGCTTTTTATCATCTTTATCTGAAGTCACCTTATTATTTATTGTTATATGTGTTTATTTCCCTAGAGAGCAAATCTCACAAGTTAGGGGTTGCATTTTAACTTAGGTTAGATTCTCTCAGCATGGAGAATAATGCTGTGGAGAGAATAGTTACCCAAATTATTAATAGAAAATGAGTGAATTCTCTAGAAAGGGAGCCTTTTAGATTCAAGTACATAAGGTCATTAGAACGGTTAAGCTATATTACCCCTTGAGACTCAGAAGAGTCCAGAATCCCAGCTCTGACAGATGTACCAAAAGTTAGGGAACAATACTGCAGCCTTAAACTTTAAAGGTCATGGTGAAATTCCAAAGTATTTCCCTGGCAATAGTGCAGTGCTTCTCAAAGTATAGTCCTGGGCCAGCAGCAGCAGCACCTGGAAGCTGGAAAACCCCACCCTAGACCACTGAACCATGGGAACCTGCAATCTGTGTTTAACAAGCACTTACCCTGTGATTGTGATGCCCTAATGAATATATCTTGCGTTCAGAGCTCTTCCCGGTTTGTTAAACTTTAATATACACAAGAATTACTGGAGATCATGTTAAAATGCAGTGTGTGAGGATGGAGCTGAGATTTTGCTTTTGGAATAAGCTCCCATGCTGATAGTTTGAAGATTACACTTTGAGTAATAAGGCTAAACCATACATAGCAAAAGGGTTTCATCTCCAGGGCCACCTGTAGTTATGTGACTTTCTATCATACTGTGCAGAAAAGGATTTTGAGTGTGTAACTCTCTAGTTGGAAACAGCAACCTGATCAATCAATAATGTCTGTCATAGGTACAGGAATAGAAATGACATACATGCCATAAATATACATATATATATATATTTAGAGGGCACAGATATATATATGTGATCACATATATATCACATATATATGTGATCTCATTTATTTTTTTTTTTTTTTTCAAAGGTTTTTATGTCTTTATTCAAAATTTCTACACGGGATGGGATGTTGACAATGGCAAACACATACATTCTCTTAAGATAAGATAAAGTTAAATTGACTGAAGCACTGGTTTCAAAGACCAAACTAGATGTCATTTCACATTGGAAACTTTTAAAAGTATAAATATCCTTTGTCCAAACAATTTTTTTTCAGGGATTTATCCCAAGAATCAATCAGTGAATACATGTGTTAATTTCAATACAAGTTTATATCAGTGATATTTAGAGTAAAACTGGAAATCCAAATATCCAGTAATGAGAATTATCTAAATAATTGTAACTGAAAGGAATATTATGAAAACTATTAAAAGCAATTGTATAGAGAATTTTAATAACATACAACAGTGCTTACATTATATTCAATAAGCAAGCTTAAGACCATTCATACAGTAAAGTACATCAACACATAGATGTCTGTGTATATGAATATCCACATATATGTATAAGTATGCAAATGATAACACATATAATGAAACTATTAGCAGTTGTTATTTTTATTTAATGAGAGTAAAATCAGTCTCTAGCATCTTTTTCATAATTTACATACTCTTATTCATAAATAGTCCAGTAAATACAGCATTGCTTCTAACTTAATGATTCTAAAGAAGTAAAGTCTTCATTTATTGCCTTTTAATTAACTTTCTCAAAAGTACCATTTTCAAATGCTTAGCTGAGTGAACAATTAACAGAAAACTGACTTCCAATACATTTGTACCTATTTAAACTACCATTGCTATAAAAATTATAGGAATACTATAATTATTAAGTCAATTGTTTTACCCTTAAATGTCATAGAGTTAAAATTTATATTGAGAGAACTGACTTGATAATTCTGCATTTTTATAGAGCAGCAAAATTATTGCTACTTAACCCTCCTTCCTGCTTTCCTATATATTTGTTTAAGAAAAAAATAGAAGGTATGTATCACTTTATTGTCACTCCATTTGCTTTCAAATAGGCATGTGTGGTTGACAGAATAATATCCTCCCCCAAAATGTCCACATCCTAATTCCCAGAACTAGTAAATATTTTACTTCACACAGGAAAGGGGCATTGAGCTTGTAGGTGGAACTAAACTGCTAATCAGCTAACCTTAAAACAGGATTATCCAAAAGAAGAGTCCAGTATAATATATGTGATCTCATTTAAATCACATGTGCTGCCAAATGACACCCAAATATGTGTTAATATGAAAATAGTGCAATTTTATATATTAAATTTACGTCTTCCTAATACTGCAGGAGTTGGTAAATATGAGCATTCACTTAATCTTGTGTGATTTATATAATTAAAATGGGATAATTTCTCATCCTTCTTGATCAAAGACTAAAAATGAGTATTTCTACATTTCTTTCCCTGCCTTCTCATCACCCCTTTAATAATTTTATCTGCCTTTTCTCAGAACATTCGTTACCAACATTTATATCTTTTTCTCCAAAACCTTTAATTTCTTTACTTAAAGCAAATAATCTATCATCATAATCAGATAAGGGGGAGAGGAGAAAGGCTGATTTTCCCCCTTGGAGTAAAAGAGACATTTATAAGATTCCTCCTTAAATTAGATTGTCACAAATTATAAAAATGTACTATAAGGTTACTTCTTCCCCTTGGATGTAGTGTGATGTTATGTTATATTGTGTTATGTTAACATCAGCAAAGTAATTTTAAATCAATATGTTTTGGCAAGCACTGGTAGCTAAAGAAGTCATTGGTTCATAGAAGGGCAAACTGCTCTGGAAAGAATACACTACTCAGGTTTTGTTTGCTTTTCTTAAATGTTGTATATAGTTTTAAGTAAATGAACTATGGACAAACACACAAGTTGAAATAGCCCACCATTTTATACCTCAACTTGGACAACCTCTCTCTTTTTCTAAACTTTCAAAATCACTCCAGTGTCAGAGATGGGCCAAACTCTGGGGATCACTGAATCATCTTGAATTTCAACAGTCCCCTGATTTATAAGAGTCATCCTCAGATCAGGATGTGCCAGCTGTGCTGCTTTCTGATCCTCAACATCAGCCACTGGTGATTGATTAGTTGAGTGTTAATTGGGTTTCAGAATTAACCTGCAAGTGGCCAGTGCCATCAACCCATCCTTCATCTGAGTTAAAGACCCTTAGCTATCTCTGACCTCCCAAGAAGAAAGTCCTGAGAAGAGCCCAAAACATCCAAACCCCCACTTATCATAAAAAATACAGGAATCTGTGAGGGGAAGTCAACAGTCTCCTGAAGATCAGTGATTATAAATGGTGAAGGGTCATGTTACAAGTCTCTGGAATAATATAAAAAGTGAAACATTCATGAGTCTGTTTGGAAGTAAAAAAAAAATTCACACTAGATTATTTTCAAAAATGCATTTTTTCTTAATTTTCTACAACATGGGTTGGCAACATATAGCATCCTATTTCAGAGGTAGCACAAATGCTCGCCTTTTGGTAGTGACTG